TTKKAAAGGAATGTTYTTGAACTTACGTGACCAAAGGTTGCTTTTCATCTTCGTCGTCGTCATCACCGGCGCAGCAGCAGCAGCACAGCTGCGTGCAGAACCTCTTGAAGGATGACCCCATCTAACAGGAACGGCTGGGAGTGGTTTGTTTTCTCTGAACGATGGAGAGGATCTAGAAATAAAATTTAAAAAAAATCTGCATTAATGTTCTCCACTTCGCTGGTTTAAAATAAATTGATGAACAAAAAAAAGTTACAAAAAGCAGAATTCCACCCAGATTTCAGCTTCCCATTTTCTGAACTCTGCCCAGTGCTGCACACCGAGTCGAGCTCTCCTCCTCCGGATGAAGCTGGACAGATGGCAGCCTGAGGACTGGTGCTTCTCATGGAGGACAGGCAGGGCTCTGAGGAGGCTTTTGCTCTCATCGACTCTGAAAAACACACACACACACACACACACACACACAGCCTCAGAAGACAGTCACAGTGCAATCATGTGAGGAGCTTTGTCTCTTGTCCTGAGCTTTGTGCTTTGCCTCGAGGACAACACAGCCCCTCCACAACAGAGGGTCTGATTACAGCCRAGACCAACTCTACTCCAGGATCCTTTTTATTAAACATTAAGACTGAGAATTACTGTTCCGAAGAGCTCAAACGAGAGTTTTTGGCTTTATTCAAACCTTTATGTTGTATACATTGATGGGGGGGATGTTGTGTAGAGCGGGCCTGCAGTGTTTTTGTGTTGTGTGTGTTCTGTAATGTCTCCAGTCACACGGTGTTGTCTGTCCTCAGACACCCTGGGGATGCAGCGCAGGACAGGACACCACACGTGGACATGAGACGTTGGTAACAGGGAGTGTTAGTGGGTTTAAATCTACAGAATCTAAATTTAGCAAAGAAATTCCGTCAAAACCCAAATTTGACAACAAAAACCCTTATAATGCTAATGCTATTTTAAAGGGATCCATGATTAGTCGTAACATTAGACTTTATTTGATAAACACATTTTAACTGTAAAATAAAGACTGTAAAAATACTGTAGGATGTTCAGTTTTTATCATTTTTAAACAAAGTTTAAAAATATATTTTAACATGGACGGAGCCATTTTATTTACACGCAAAGCATTCTGGGTAATTGATGACGTGGATAGGTCCTTGGTGCGAGGCTGCTAGCGAGCTATATCCACCCTGAAGGTTAATCTTGGACAATATCTGATGATCGACTCTTTTAAATGAAACCACAGAGTGTTGACAGAGAGGAGAAGGTAGAAATGACTCAGCCTGGAACTGAAAATATAGATGGAGGACAACAGAGCTGCTTCATGGAAGAAGAACCTCAGCTTAGCCTGTTAGCTTTAGCATTAGCCCTGACGCTAACACTTTATATATGTATTAGCTCAGCGCTACACATTCTCCTCTCGTCACTGAGGTCCTCCATCCACATGACAGAGAGGGGAACGCAAAAATGACTCAGYCTGCAACTGAAAATATGGATGGAGGACCTCAGTTTAGCTTGTTTGTTGCACTAGCACCGAGCTAATACATATAAGGCAATATAGCATCTGCGCTAACGCAAAGGCTAACAGGCTAAGCTGAGGTTCTTCTTCCATGAAGCAGCTCTGTTGTCCTCCATCCATATTTTCAGTTACAGGCTGAGTCATTTCTACCTTCTCCTCTCTGTCAACGCTCTCTGGTTTCATTTAAAAGAGTCGATCATCAGATATTGTCYAAGATTAACCTTCAGGGTGGATATAGAGCGCTAGCAGCCTCACACCGAGGACCTATCCACGTCATCATTTACCCAGAATGCTTTGCGTGTAAATAAAATGGCTCCATCCGTGTTAAAATATATTTTTAAAAATTTACAAAACTAAACATCCTACAGTATTTTTACAGTCTTTATTTTACAGTTAAAATATATGTTTATTAAATAAAGTTTAATGTTACAACTAATCATGGATCCCTTTAAAAGTCCTGACAGGGAAACATCTTTGCATTTTGTTACATCCTGAAGCTCAAGTGACAAAGTTTATTTACCACAGCGTGCAGAACAGAGGTGAAATAGTGAATTAAAACTGTTTATTGTGAATATGAGACGTTGCTAATCCAGAGCTCTGCGGCCCACATGAGGCTCTTTGTAGCTGCGACCAAAAATAATTTGAATTTTATGGATTTTCTGAAAAACTTTACCAAACCTCTGCAGACAGCTGCACATTAAAGACGGCTCGTTATTCTCACAGAAATTAAAGAAAATAAACATTACAGAGCAGAGCTGGGAGCCTCTCGGCTGCTTATATAAACTGTTTACAAAAAGCTTCTCGTCTGAAAGTCGTCGAAGGGCAGACGCTSATAAATGATCATTTCTGATTTGTCTCTGTGGGGAAAAAATGAAATTTATCTTTAGAAATTCATATTTAAAGAAACATATTTTACTCATCTGTAACAAATTTAGCCTCAGGAGGATCCAAACATCTGAATGTGTTAAAAAAAGAGGATTATGTCAGGATTTTCCGTTTTATTAGACATGAAATATTAAGACTCAGTAAAAACAGTTGGTCAGTGGCTTTAAGCTAACATGTTTGACTGACACATAAATCAACAGGAAGTCATAAACAAGCAGATTTTTGTGCATTTAGTTTGTTTAAAGATTAAACAGCATGAAGTAAACGTGAAGCAACAAAAAGGTTAATATTAGTGATAAAGGCACAATTATTTTACATTTTCRTCTCATTTGTACAGTGAGCAGCTAAAATTAACATACATTTATTCTCAACAGCCACGGACATGAATTATTTCCGATCGTCACAAGTTTCAGAGCTGAAACCACAAATATGCTCTCTCACGAGTTCTGAGCGTCAAAAACAAAGTCTCTAAAGACGTTTAAACCGAGTCGCAGCAGTTCTGATTCATGACAATCTGAYTATTTATTGCTTCATTAGGTGAAAAAGTAAAAGTGGGGAAACAATAGAAGCCTTCAGGGAGGTCTGTGGAAGAGTCKGTTCAGATTTTAATTCATATTTACTGAAAGAAAATCAAAAGAAATAAACCACGAGGCYATTAAAAGTGTTTGGCACAAGACAGCTGCAGTCAGAAACTGATAACATCTTCATTTCTCTGAACCTTTTCAAGGAATTAAAAGAACCCAGATCATTGAACTGCAGGAATGTGATGTCTCCCTCTAGTGGTGAGCCGGCAGCAGCGCGCCCCTGCCTTCTACAGAAAGGTGAACATTTTTAGAGCCTTCAAACCTGGTGTTTGTAGAAATTACAGCTGCGACACAAACAGGTGAAAGAAAAATATATTTAAACAGTGCAGTGATAATTTTAGATACAGATATATATATATAAAAAGCAGCAAATCAATGATAAACTCTGTGTTCTGTAAGAAAAGGCTCAGATGTTTTGTTTTTTCACAATAAGAGTCCGGTCCTGCTGCAGGCCTTCATGTGTCAGTAAAGTGCAGCAGTACCTCAGCTGGGGTCAGTCCTCATCTCATCGAGAGGCGGAGCAACAGATATAAGTCCATTTTAAAAAAGTGTCTCAATTTTGATCTCCTTCCAAATAAAGTCTGTTCAGTTTCAGCTCAGAAACATCCCACAAACTGCTGCCGTCTTGTTTGTTTGTTTTTCCTGGCAGGATGCGTCTCCTGCTTTAGGTGTGGTGGTGATTATGATGATGATGATGATGATGGTGGTGAGAAGGCCGAATGTCGATGATGCGTTGGCGTAAATGGGACATGAATTCAAACATGGTGGCGGCCAGGCTCTGGTGGATGAGGTATCGAGGCAAACGACCCTAGGGAAAAAAAAGAAAAGTGTTACAGGGGTAAAGCTGCACTTCCTGTTTTTCTTTTCCTTTTAATTCTGTTAACTTTTGATCCGTCATTTAATATGTTTGGTTTCTGCAGAAACATCAGAAAAAGAGAGTTTGTAAAACCTGAGACTCCATTACACTTTGGTTTATTTCAAGCAGAAACTTTAAGAAAGCCCCTTAGTTCTGAGAGCTACACCCCACCCTCCCCCACCTGACTGCGACATTTTAAAAAGAATCACCTTCAGGTCTGTGTTCAGGACCCAGATGAAGGTGCACACAGAYGGGTTACTGCAGGACTTCAGGACCACAAACCCTCCGGGACCATTTTCTCCCCTAAAAACCACAACAAACAGTAGAAAACAGGAAGAGGAAGTGAAACAAACGCCTGCGATTAAAATGAGGACTGTCAGGAAGTCTGGCTGAAGGCTTCACCTCACGTAGCGGCTGCACGGGGGTTTGGATTCGTGGCTGGCGGCCATGCCGGCAGACATGTAACAGTCTCGCTTGCGTTCGACTCGCCGAACGTTAACGAAGTCCCTTCAGAGGAAAGAGAAAGATCCGATCAATTTACTTTGTTTTTCTGACATAAAAWCCCACAATCAGAGGTAAGGTTAAGAAAATAAAAGCACCTCGCGGACACCACTCCTCCTGCTGCGCCAGCCGACACGTCGTACGACACCAGAGTGTTGTCGTCGACCCGCTGCAGGATCTGAGGGCGCACAGAGAGCACAGTCAGCCTGCAGAGCCTCGCAACGTCACACAAAACATGTCCCAAACACACAAAGAACACACACCTGGCAGACAGACACCGTTCTGTTCCACTGAACCATTTTCTCCGGCTGCAGAATCACTTCCTGGTAGACGAGCTCAGCGGGACACTGCATCAGGGCCTGAGCACAGAAATTATATAAAAATGTAATAAACCTGCAGAAACAAATTACGCAAACAAAATACTTGTATTTGTTACTGGTGAACGTTTCTTTTTGCTCTAACATGTTGCACATTGTGAACAGAGATCAAAGGACCAGCTTCATCGTTTGCTGTACCTTCAAAATAAAAGTCTTTCCATGGTAGGGAATCTCCAGAGTGTAAACAGAGTCTCCCATATCCTGTCAGAAACACAGAGAACGTCAGAAAACTTTTGAGTTTCACTTCTTTAAAACAAAATAAAACTTGTGAAAAAGTYGTGTGTTTTTTTATATCGACGAACACTTCAAATCTCGATTAAAAGAAAACGAGTTTAAGATTAAAAAAAATATGTAGAGAAAAATGTTGCTCGACAAGAGTTGGGTTTCGCTTCCGGTTAGCTGAGCTACTCGACTGGTTCTCTGGAGCTTTATCAGAGTGAACATGATGCACACATCATCGAGAGCGGTTCACACTCGATCTACAGTAACACACACTAAACATAGGTTTGTTTTAATCAGCGCTCTGGAAGCAGAGGAGCGTCAGAAAATATAAAAAAGGCCGACGTCTCAGAGAAATGTTAGAGCGCCAAAATATCAGCAACTGTGTCTTGACTTAAAGCAATAAAAAAATCCTGACAATTTCATGAATGAACTGTTTAAAAGTGCAAATTTTTAAAAAAGTTAAAGCTGCTGTTATTTGGAATGACGGTCACCCTGGTAATAACCACACACCTGAGTCTCTCACTCCCTGACGGCCAAGTTAATGAGAAGCAGATGGAAAAACAGTTGCTGCTCAAAAACTATAAGATGAAGTAAAAAAATTCTCTATATTCTGATGAATAATTTGAATCTGTGTTGAAAAGGTTGCAGCAGTAAGAAATTTTTAAATATATGAAATCAAATGTGACGTGCACATYCTTCAAATATAAAAAGTCAAAGAAAACATCTTAAATTTAAGAAACTTGACATAACACACGTGATTTCATCCATTTTGTCACATAACCAGCATATGTTCCTCTGAATTTGGCTCTGCTAACGTGAAACAGGAAGTGACATCAAAGGGGGACTTGACGAAAAGAAACGCTCTGGTTTTTGTTTATTAAAAAAATTATATTTGAACTTTGACTCTTCATTTCTCTCTAATTCAAAATAATCTAAAGAATCAGATTCTTCTCTACAGTCTGTTAGTTATTGTAGCAAAGCTCTGTTCGCAGTCAGACATCCCCCTTTGACATCACTTCCTGTAACTTCACATGTGAATATCTCAACACCCTCTCATCATAACGACGTGAAAAATTTTTTTGCAATAGTTTATCGATGTTATCTTTCCAAAAATGTGTTTAAGTTTATTACAAAAAATTTGGTGTAACAGGTGATTTAAAGCAGGGGTTCTTAACCTTTTTGACCTCGGGGCCCAATTTGTTCAACATAAAGTGACACGAGGCCCAGTCACACATTACCGCTACTAGTGGTGAGAAAGTGTATTGCACCTTATTCTAAATCASTGTGGTCCCACGGCCCTCTGCGGCCCAAAGTTAAAAACTGTTGTTCTTTTGAGGCCCTCAAGGTGGCGCTCGCGGCCCACAGGTTAAGAATCTCTGCTTTAAAGTACATCTTTTTGTATCTTATTAATGTTTTTGCGATGTTTCTGCGGCGTATTATTTGCTTTTTGTAAGAAAACGACACTAAATATAAACACGAGAGTAAAACATCTGCTTTTTCTGAGCAAAGAAGAAGAAAATGACTGACATTGTTTTTCTCAAACTTCCAGTTGTCCTCCTGAGTAAGAATCTGCTCCACCACAGACATGGCCTCCCGACCCTGCTGAACATACTCCTTGTCCTGCAGAGACAGAGAGCAGAGGGTGATGAGCAGACGGAGTGGATAAAAGAAAGGATGTATAAAAATAACTGATGCAGGTACCTGAGTACTGATGGCTTTTCGCCCACGGCCCTCCTCGTCCAGCTCCTCATCCGAGTCTGCAATCAAAAGACAAAAACTCACTCCGCTGCTCAAACATGACGCAAACCAATCCACAGCTTCAGATAATCACCTACGACYGACTCAGGCGGAGAGTAGAAGGCRTCTGAAACGGCCCGAGGGTAGATGACAGGAGCTCGTTCACAGGCTGCGTTCACCGCCGCTAAATAAGCTGAGGTCAGGGAAAGAGAAAAGTTCAACACAAGCCCTTTAATTTGACGAGTCATGCTATTGTTTTTTTTTTAAATGTCACCTCGGTCGTCGTCGGCTTCCTGAGTCAGAACTTTAAAGTCCAGGAACCAGGTCTCCAACCAGGCCACGACGAAGGAGGTGATGGGCAAAACGTAGCCGAAGGCATTTTTGGACAGAAGCTGTGTGGAAACAGAGAGGMGGGAACTTTTACACACAACGGAGTTTATGTTAAAAGTGAAAAAAAGAAAGTGAGAACTCACGTCAGAGATGATGACCTTCACGACRAGGAAGGCTGTGGTCACCAGAGTGGAAATCTGAAAGAAGAAACAAGATCTCAGCTTTAGCTCAGACTGAAACGAGACGAACGGATCGAGCTGAAGTTAACAGCTGTGACTAACTCACCGCAATGACCCACCAGTGCTTCAAACGAAACGCTGCGTAACCAATTTGTAGGCAAAGGAAACGGAAAACAGCAAGAAGCTGCAGGAGGAAGAACATTTAAATGGGTTTGAAAACTGCGTTATAAAAAGGCTTGTTCAAACGTGTTTTATTTGCAGATGACATCACTTTTTTTGTTTTGTTAAAAACATAGAACGGATGTTTGTAATGATGCAGACAGAATTTAAAACACAAACCTGGTTTAAACTTAATAAATTATCATTAAATATTGATAAGACTAATTATATGATATTCAGTAATAGAAAGAAAACTGTGAAGGGCTGCTCAAACATTTACCCCGAGGGGGCCAAAACGAGAATCTATCCATCGCTGCGGGCCAAATGCAGTAATATAATACATGAAATACAAACACCATTTCCATACAAATACTTTTTTAAGTAAAGTCCTTTATTTTTAACGATTAAGCCCTCGTTTGTTTTAGTCTGTGCATTTGGATAAARTCTGCCATACGCCCAAGAAGCAAAGGCTCATGGGACATTTCATAAACTTGATAAAATATGAGTTTTTGTGGCCTTATAAAGTGTGCAAATCTACATGTGGGGTTAAATCTGATCTAAATATTTCTTGTTGTCATTTCATGTTTCATGTTTAATCCTGATAAATCAAAGAAATGTCAKYACCATGACTGAAAACTACCTTCACTWCRGCCCTTTTATATAGTCATTTGACCAATGAAAATACTGTTTCCACCTATAGGATAACAGGTTACAACCTTGTAACTTTGGCAACTGTTGGTGGGCCAAATCAAATGGCTTGGTGAGCCTAATTTGGCCTGCGGGCCCCACTTTGGGCTCCTCTGATTTAGAGTCACTGATATGGGCCTCATGCAAGAACATGTTCGTATTCTTATCCTAAATTTCTCTTACTTTTGTTCGTACAAAGGGTTCGTACGAACATGTCACGTCAGATT